CAAGCTCACACTTGCCCAATGTGCCTGCAGACGGCCTTGGTGCAGGAGGTGCACCAGAACTTCTCAGCCTGGTGTTCCCAGGTGGTTCGCCTGTACCCGGGACAGCGGCACCTGGAGCTGGAGTGGACGGTGGGACCAATACCCGTGGGGTGAGTGGCACAGACTGGGCTTCTGGGGTAGGGGCCAGGGCAGAGTGATGGTAGGCCTGGCTCACAGTTTTCCTATTCCATTGGGTCTAGTGATGGCTGGGGGAAGGAAGTCATCAGTCGTTTTGACACTGCGCTTGAGACAAAGGGACTCTTCTTCACCGACAGCAATGGCCGGGAGATCCTGGAGAGGAGGTGGGGTGACTGGGGGCACCCAGGAGGACTGTGGTGTGTTGGGGCCCATGGGTGATGGGGGCATCTGCCGATCCTATGAGTGTGGGTGGGAGAGTATGAAGGGGGAGTGAGGAGTGGGTGAGCCTGGGAAAGGGAGTTGGGGAAGGGGAGCCAGAACCCAGGTCTGACCGACCAAACCCTCCCCCTTCCCCCCCAGGCGGGATTATCGTCCCACCTGGGAGCTGAACCAGACGGAGCCAGTGGCCGGAAACTACTATCCAGTCAACACCCGAATTTACATTACGGTACCCCCTCCCCTTTCCTGCTCCCCACCTTTTCCAGACCCTCTTCTACACAGTGGTGTCACCCCGCATTCTTAGCATCTCCCAGCGTTGTTGGCCGTGCCCACCATGCCCTGTGCTGCCTGCCTGGGGCCCGGCCTGGCTGGCAGTGTCCTTCCTCACTCTCATCCCTTGCCCCCAGGATGGGAACATGCAGCTGACAGTGCTGACCGACCGCTCCCAGGGGGGCAGCAGCCTGAGCGATGGCTCCATAGAGCTCATGGTGAGTGGTCTGAGCCCATCTAAGCCAGGCTTCTCCCACCAGGCCCCCCCCCCACCCGGCCCCTGTTGGACCGGGAAGCCAGGTTCTCTGCTAGTTGCACCCTTCTGTTTGGGGTCCCCCAAGCTGCGACCTCCATTCCTATGTAAGAAGTTTACTCCATGCTTTTTTTTTTGAGGGTGAGATTGAGGGGGAGGGTTAGGGTGAGCTGTTCCATACTTTTTATTCAATCCTTACGCAGGCGCCCCCTCCAATTTCTGACCTGCTCTACCCAGGCTTCCTTTAGGTCTCTACCTCCCTCTCTTCTGGTGGGTAGGATCCCCACATCTGCTGGGGTCCCCTATAGCATACCTTCATTCTCATCTGATCACCCCAATGTTCAATTTATCTGGAAGTCCCCACCATTTCTGGCCCTGAAATTGGCCAGAGGGGCCTTCACTTCTTTTGGCCACTTTCCCCGCAGGTGCACCGAAGGCTGCTGAGAGACGACGATCGCGGAGTTGGGGAGCCACTGCTAGAGACATCGGAGTCGGGGTTGTGGGTACGAGGGCGGCACCTCGTGCTGCTGGACAAGGCCCGGACCGCGGCCGTAGGGCACCGGTTGCAGGCGGAGAAGGAGCTCTTGGCCCCGCAGCTTGTGCTGGCCAGGGGCAGCGGCACCCCCTACCACTTGGAGGTCGCCCCGCGCAAGCAGGTGAGGGGTGGCGGGCCGGCAGAAAGAGAGGAGCTGGAGGAAGCCTGAGGGGGGTGTGGATCTCTCTAGGCTCAGCCAGAACCCACGTCGCCGGCCCCCAACTCTTCCCGGGCAGACCCTGGCCTAGCTAGCGTGCAGTCGCAGCTCCTCCCCATCCCTCAAGGACTAGGTTCACATCCTCTGCTCCTGCCCCTTCCTGCACCTCTGCTCGCCCTTCTTACCTCGGCCGGGCCCGCCTCTCCGTCTTCAGCCCCGCCCTCCCTGGGGTCTCAGGCCAGATTAGTTGGACGCCCCCAGCCCTGCCCCATCCGCTCATTAGCGCAGCCTTTCGGTTCCAGGCTGGGCCCCGTCCTTCCCACGTTAAATCCTGCCCCGATGAGCACGGCCAAACCCCGCCCCTCACCAAACCCCTCCCCTCCCTCGGGTCC